GCCTCTGCCTCTGCCTCTGCCTCTGCCTCTGCCTCTGCCTCTGCCTCCGTGGTGCTGGGATTAAAGGTGTGCACCACCACTACTTGCCACTGGCCTTTTAATCATGCTGTGGTGAGAGACAACCCCTGCAGCAAGCTGATGGGAAGGTTTCTGACCCATGTTGATATGAGAAGTAGCACATCATCATTGTAAAAGGGCTCTTCCAAAGGATCTCAGAGCCATCCTCCTGTCCCGGGTAAATACTTCAGGATTTGGCCCAAACAGAGTCCCCATAGAAAATGAATTGCTTGGTTTCCTCTGAGTCAGGTATGGATACAGGGGCAATGATCCACCCTGTATTGTCTCAGGGCCCATTGGTGGCAGTCTTCTCCTAAGCACCACAGATGTGTCCTGCTTTGTATGACTTGGTGATTAAGCTGCAGGTTGCACTGCATCTTCCAGGTTAGTCTAGACTTTCATCTTAGACAGTCCATTGAGGCATCTTCTTAAAGTTTTTGTTTTCAGTTCAGCATCTGCCTGTTAGGTATTATTGCAGTAAATTGGGATGAGGGTAGCAAGAGTGTAGTATGGGATTGACTAAAGCTCCTGATTGGCTAGGCAGAAGATGTGGGGTTGGATCCAGCATCTCTTGGTTTTGACTAGTGGTCCTGAGGAGGAGGAGGTACTTCGGATGGTTACTGTAAGAGCTTTGCAGGTGGGTGGCAGACCTAGCATCTGCTGAAGATGGTGAGATTCTGACTAAGCAATCAACTTTCTGTGTCTGAGCAAAAGAGACGAGAATAAACTGTTCATAAAAACCTTAATAACCCAGCATGGTAGCAAACAACAACAAAACAAAACAAAAGAAGCTGGAGAATTGCTTCAGTGGTTAGGAGTACTGGCTGCTCTTCCAGATGACCTGGGTTCAATTCCCTGCACCTACATGGCAACTGACAACTGTCTGTTAACACCAGTCCCAGGGATCTGATGTCCTCTTCTGGACTCTATAGGCACTGCATGCATGTAGTGCACAGACATACATGCAGGTAGATCACCCATACAACATAAAATAAATCTTAAAAGTTTTTTAATTAAACCTTTTGTTTTAGTGGCTTGAAATAACAATCTAAAATACAAGAACACCAACTGGCTTTATTTTATTTATGTATTTACTCATTTTATTTTAGGTTTTTCAAGACAGGGCTTTCTCTATAGCTTTGGAGCCCATCCTTAATAGCCTTCATAAATTCTTGGCAACACCCAAGACTTCTCTTTTTAATAGCTAAAGAGGCTCAGGCTCCAGAGGAAGGTGCTCAAACATCTATGTTTCCCAAAGGGCTGGGTCTGAAATTGCAGAGAACTGAAGGTCAGGCTTTGGGCCAAGCAATGTTGAAAGTTCCTATAAATTTAGTGAGTCTTAATTCTGTTTGTCCTTTCTACCAATCCAGAGGGGTGGTAGACATGGTTAAAATGTAATAATACTGGATAGGACCCTGGGAGAGTCCTTTGCCCCTTCTACCATGTGAGAATCCTGGATATTTTGTTTTGTTTTGTTTTTCCAGACAGGGTTTCTCTGTGCAACAGCCCTGGCTGCCCTAGAACTCACTCTATAGACCAGGCTGGCCTTGAACTCACAGAGATCTGCCTGCCTCCACCTCCTGGCTGCTGGGATTAAAGACCTGTGCCACTACTGTCCAGCAAGGAGCCTCAGTCTTTTTAACTGCCCCCCCCCCCCAAAAAAAAGCAGGGTCTTACCAGAGACCCTTCTGCTCCGCCTCCGTCTTGCTATCTGCCTCTGAAGTCATCAGGCATAAATGCCTCATGTTACATGCCACCTGACCATGGCATCTGGTCATCACAGCTGATACACACAAAGGCCCTGCTTCTCCTCAGCTGACACAGCCCTGCTCTGTACTTTCAGAACCGAGTTTCTCCATTTAAGGACATGATCTTATGCTTCTCAGAAGAGGACTGGTCCCTTCTGGATCCAGCACAGACTGGTTTCTATGGAGAGTTCATCATCGGGGAAGACTACGGGGTTTCCATGCCTCCAAGTAAGACCTAACTCCTCATGAAGCCAAGTACATGGAAAGTGGGCGGGGGGACTTACTCAGAGTGATGGACACCACCTGGGAGGTTCAGGTACTGTGGCTGAGTCTGGTCTCTCTGTTTACTCCCTTACCTTGACAGCAAGCAATCAGTACAGGACCCACAGGTAGCTTGTGGGTGACCTGGCTGTCCTAACACATGTAGATTAGGCTCTTAGGCTCTGTCCCACAAACCAGATATGATATTTCAGTGTTTCCATTAGCTTCCAATCATTGTTGCTCCAGTACCCTTTCGTAAGCATCCAGGAGGCCTCAGAGGGATGGTCCTAAGCCCTGGCCTGCTCTGTCATATGTTGCCTTTCACCCTTCCCCAGTTTCCTGGCCTTGCTCTCCTCTATAGCCCCAGCCTGTCACAGCTCAGTGGAACCTGTCACAGCCCAGTGGCTATCTCTTCTCAGTCTCTTCTTGGGCTGGACACGGGTTACCTCCCTGGTCACCTGCAAAAGCAGGTCACTGTTGAAGGTGTCATACCTCTTTGTGAACAGACGATCCTGCAGCTCAGCCAGACTTCTCACCCGAAGAGGAGAACAGGCCACGGGTTACAGAGATGGCAGACCTCCAGGGTAAAGAAGCACTCCAGGTCTCCTGCTTAGGTGAGTGACAGTCCAGAGATGGGTGGGCAGCAGGGTAGAACACCCTGGCCTTCACAGCATCCCCATGTCTCTCCATGACTCCCCACTCTCATGGCATTCCATGTCTTGCCTTCCCTCTGGCTT